ACACAGAGGAGGTGCTCCTTGATTTTTCATGGACATAATTATTTTGTGCTGAATACAGTATTTAGAAACCCTTTGAGGGTTCGAAGTATGGAGTTGCCTCTTCTGTTGGTTAGCTGTTGGATGCTGACCTAGCTGGAGGCAGTGAGATGTTTGTTTTCATGGGTCTTGCCACTGATCACTCCAATCAATTTCTGCTTGCAGTGGAGATCTACCAGAGCTGTGAACTACTTACTAATGGCTGATGGGATTTTTTTTTTTTGCTTTGACATCACATTAATTTTAGTGGTGGTTTTGTTTTATTTCTAACTTACCAGGTGTTACTTTGGAATTACTGATTAAATGTTGGCTGTGAACAGTTGGCAAGGCTTATAATTCCTTCATTCTCTACACCCAATATGTTATCTAAGATGAGAGCTATGGTTTTGAATGTAAGAGGATGGTAGAAAGTGTGCCACAGTTAAAGAATAGGTGGGAAGATTGCAAGGAATGGGGGCAGAAGTTTGAGAGATGAAGTGGCTTAATGCTGCAGATGGAAAGGTGTTTTTTCAACTAGTCTGCACAGACAGCGTCTTCTCCAAGTAACTTGAATTTAAATTCAATTGGACCTTGAAAGCAAAATGCCAGTTGTCAGAATGGTCCTGAGTTCTACAGTTAAATGATCTCTTTTCCCTTACCCAGCAATTCAATTCCCTCTCCCTTACGTATTCTTGTTTACCCTCTTACACAGAATATACACTTAGTTGTATCTCTTACTGGCATGATAGAAGTTCCATTCCTACCTGTCTGCTTGGGGTTTCTTCATCTCTGTCTTAAGCATGCAAGACTGGAGACAGTAACAAATCCATGTGGAAAAGTGTGTCACTTCATTTTGAAAAAGCTATTTCCTAGAAAGCTCTACGTTTGCAGGCATAATTATAGCTTTCTTCCTAGCACCTTTCACACAAGCGTGCACTTATCCTAAGTCAAGGACTTCTCAGTTCCCCCTGCTCTGCCGGGGAGCAGGTGCACAAGAAGCTAGGAGGGACCATGGCCAGGAGAGCTGACTGAACTAGCCAAAGGGATATCCTGTATCACAGGACATCATGCCCAGTATATAAACTGGAGGGGTTTGGCTGGAGGGGCCGATTGCTGCTTGAGCATTGGTCAGTGAGTGGTGAGCAACTGCATTGTGCATCACTTGCCTTTCCCTGGGTTTTATTTCTCTCTCCTTTTGTTATCTTCCTTTTCATTACAATTTTTTTTTTTTTAAATTATTAAACTGTTCTTACCTCAACCCACAAGTTCTGCTTTTTCTTTTCTCCTCCTCATCTCACCACAGCAGGAGGAGGAGTGAGTGAGTGGCTACGTGGTGCTTAGTTGCCAGCTGGGATTAAACCATGACAATAATTCAAAAGAAAGAAGATCTAACTATCCATTCACTTGATTCTCTCACTACTGACTGCCATTAATTTTAGCTCCAGAGCAACAGTTGATTTATGAATTTAACTTCTATGTAAATATTAGTGGTACTGAAATCATTGGAGGTGCCAAGTTTATTCTCTTGTGTTTCTAGATTTACCAGAGATGCTGGTTAGTATTCAAAAAAGCTTCAAGCAAAGGGCCAAAGAGGCTGGAGAAATTCTCAGATGAACGAGCTGCTTACTTCAGATGCTATCACAAGGTAAGACTTGTTAATATGTTTGTTTCTCAACCTTGTTTCTACATACAATCAAGAATAAAATCTAAAGTTATCATGTATTAATTGACCTAAAAATTGGAACATTTTTTACTTTTGAGGTCCTAAACTGGCTTGTATATTCCTTTGTTCAGTAGAGACAGAGTAAATGTTCTATTTTCTACTTTGTAACAAACATCTTGCTAAGCTAATGGAAAATGACTTTATTTTTAGAGAAGATAGCCTTTTCTCTACTCAGCCCGTTAAAATCAGAGCTGAAATACTTTGCAATGAATACTACTCTTCATAATTACAGCAGAAAACATCCAAGGAAACATGGGAGTTCAAAAAGCTGAGTACTTAAATGTTCCCATTTCACTGGGAATTTGCATCTGTGGGAGGCAGTAGACAGCTACACCTAAGAAGGGCAACATGAAAAAGTTTTGTGCAATGGTGATGTGAAAATCTTTGGTAAATTCACCAGTATTAAAAGAATTATGTTTTTCCCTCTAATTGCTCCTCTGGAGTTACGGGTACATTTCATAGTCATCTGAGAATTCACATGTATAATTCTCCTGGGCATGGAGATGAAACTAAGAAACTCTTTAGTTTCTGATTGTTGTTTGCAAAAGCTTAATATAGTAGAAGATTAGGAATTATGTGCATAAATTCCTAGGAGCTGGTGAGCATGCCTCAGCTTGAGGCTGATCTGCTCTTACTTTGACAAACATTTAGGATGAAATCTTGAGGGAATACTGAATCTGAATTTGCACTTGTCTGTCTAAATGCCACAGAATTTTTAATTCACTGGTCATAAAACCAGTGGCTATTTATATTAAGTCATGCGCAGAAATTTCATTCAAATTTAAATTAAGCCACGTTCAAAAGTAATGAAAAGTGCTTTTTTTTTTTCCTTTGTGTGTGCGTCTTGCACAGTGTGTATAAGACAATTTCCAACTTTGTGTGAAATGTTGTTTATATTAGTATAGCTCTGTCAATTATTGATGCAAATCTGTATTTCTTCCATTGTATTAATGCAATATATCAGCAGCACATGCTGACTTGAAATTCAGATTTGGTAATGGATACGAAATCCATGTGGAATCTAAATGGATGGATTTTTTTTTCCTTCATTCAAGAAAATCTGTAGGTTATTAGCACTTATTTGTGTGTGTAACCTAACAGCAGTTTCCTACCTCTGGATATGCAGACTAAAGCCCTGTAGAAAGTCCCACTAGTTTTGAGGGATCTTCAGCTTCAAGTCAAGCTCAGTCTATAGTTAACAGTTAATGTTAAACTATTGCTTCTTCTATAAATTTAGTGTTTGATTCCTCTGGTAGTTTATTTGACAGAAATACACAATGATCAATCTGAGCTTCTGTGTTGTTGTTTTGGGGGCTGGTCCTTTGTTTGGTGGGTTTTTTTTTTTTTTTGGACCTGCTGAGCTAGATTGTCCACACCAGTGCTCTGACCCCTTCTAAATGTTTGTCTGCTTCAGGTCCTAGGTATGTAGACCCGAATTATGGGACGCATTGCTGAGGTTTCTGCCAGAAAGCCTGTAGCCCTCTTGTTTAAAATGGAGAGATGTCTGTTCCCAGTACCATGCCAGCCTGGGTGCTGTGGATGAGCTCTCCTCAGCCAGGCTGGGCAGTTGGGCAGCAACAGCAGCATTTATGTGAGCTACTCTGGGAACATTGCCACCAGCATTTGTTCTCCACGTTCGTTGCTCCCCTTTGCCACCCTGTAAATGAAGCAGTGCTAACCAAGCAGAGCAGTTCCAATGTGATTGCCCAGGACTGTGGGTTGCCATTTATGCAGTGTTGCTGGTTGGCAGTGGGGCTCTAGTGTCCCCATTTTTTCACTGTGATGCTACATGAGGCTGTCTTCTACTTTTAGAGTCATCAGCTATACAAGTTGTCAGGTCCCATTTATTTTTAACAAACCTTACTGAAAAGAAGCTAATGAATATCAAATAGCATTTTCTGGCTAAAATGTGTTAAAAGAGCACAGGTGGATAAAAATTACTTTATTTTTTTAAAAAAACTTTGTAAATGTGTGAAATTCTAAGGTGGTGAGTCATACAGCTTCTAACAGTATTAAATATGAGGTGTTGGAAAAGGAGAACATGTCAGTGCTGCTCTGTGCCACTCTAGTTGAACTGATTGTTATAAAAAGCAGAGTTAATTATTAATACTTCCCTCCCAACAAACAACTTAACATGGCAGAGTCTTCAATTAACACAACTTGTCACCTGGTTTTGATATACAATGTTAATGGGACTTTGGTACTCAGGACATCATCCAGAGGTCGAAGATGGGCATTGCTCTTGTCTTGATGCACATTTGGTCAGCAGGAGCAGCTGTTGTAATAACAGCTTGGTGGTGTGTAGAGGCTTTTCTGTGACTAATTCTGTCACTCCTGGACAGCAGGCTGCTTCTCACTGTCTCTGACAATAAAATTAATCCTACAAATGAGAAGCCCAGCCAGTCCTGTTAACGTGTCAAGTGTCACTGTGTCATAAGCTTGTGCTAATGAATCTGAGGATGAAGAGAGTTCAGTCTGATAGATGATACTTGTAGGAGGAAAACCTCAGTTACAGATTACCAGTGGTTCAGAAATAAGGTTGTTAACTTCCCACCTGGACTCTGAAGTTATTCTCAAATGCTGTTGAAAGCAGCATCAAATCTAGAAAACTGAGGAGTCTCCACTCACCCCATCAGTCTCGGGAAAGGTTTAATCCATCATAAAACTGCAAAGGGTAGAAAAAGAAAAATGATGAATGGAGCTAATTTTCCAATAGCACCTGCCTCCTTCACTGAAGTGGTAAATTGTGAATAGTTTAATTTCTTTTTTTTTTTTTTTTTTTGGCTTGTTTTTTATTATGAATTACAGTGCAAATGTTATTTCAATTTATTAGTAGAAAGAGACTGTCCGAAGTATTTATTCTGTTGGCACTGTGGTGGTACCAGTCATTGGAGCTGAGTGGCTGTGGTTTGAGACCATGCAACATCTCCTTGGTACCTTCAAGGCTTCTCCTTTAGCCATCTGAAATGTGGGTCAGAAGCAGTGTTTCTGAGGTATCTCAGTGGTGTTTCTGTCATGAGGGGGGTCCACTTTATTTGTGTTGGAATGAGTGATGTGTGTCTTCTTCCACAGCCCTGCACCAGAGGCTGAATTTTACATCCTTGCCACTCAAAGTTTAAAACAACAAAAGAAATAAGTACATTTTTGTTTTTATTATAATACTGAGATTTAAATACTTTCCAGTCTTGTATTCTTTTTTAAAACATGGAAGGTTAAAGTAACCTAAAATATAGATAATCTGAGAACAGTCATCTATAGCTTATGAAGTGTGCAGGAAATTTGCCTACTCAAAGTGAATTTCCCACTTAATTCATCTGGTCCCACAAGGGAGAGAAAAGAATTAGTATCCAGGTTACAAAATCTATGCAGAAAGCTGACTTTCAGGTAGCTGTCTAGATTTCACTTATTAAATGTAAATAATCAACCAGAAATTACCATGTGCTTTAAAAAAATATTATGGGAGGAAGGAAGAAATTCCTATTTCTCCAAATTATTCTTGACTTTGTGGTGTGCCAGCAGAATCCTTATATTCCAGTACAAAATGAACTAATTGCATACTGCTGACAGGAATATACTGATTCCTGGAGGGGATCTAAGTTTTAATCCGATTGTATTAATCTTTCCTTGAAACAGCAGAAGTAATTTAAACAGTCTTTCTGTCTAGTTATGGAATAATCCATTTGGAAAATTGAATTGTGTAATTTGTAATTGTTTTCTAGGCTTGCTAATGCAAAACTGTATCGGTAGCAAATGAAATGTTTAAAGTATGACCACTCTGCTAATAACTGGCTGTTAAAAATTTATTTTAGTGAATACTATCACTTGCCATGAATGAAATGTCTAGTTTCAGCCTTTAAAAGAATTAAAGTAACTTGTCAGGATATTTTGCTGTCTGCACTATAATGCCGTACTGCGAGGCTCTCTGCAAGTCTGTGGGGCAGGTACGTGTCCTTCCACATGGAAGGACGTGGCTTGTGCATGGGTCCAGTCATCCTGCAAGTGAAGGAGCAGCCTCTGTGAGTGATGGGGAGAGCCGAATCTCTAAATCTGGTAGTTGTTCCTGTCTTGAATTTCTTGGAATAAGCCAGTGATGGATTGCAGTGGGGTTACGGCCGGTATGTGCGATTCTGTATGTGAGCATGTGAAAACTAGCAACTGAGGATTTTTCCCACTGAAGGAAGGGATATATAGGTATGGCTGTAGATTTTATTTTTTTAAAAAATACATATTTTTATAAATATTAAAAAGAATTACTATGTTATGTATACTTTAGGTTAGATATGAGCAGGCAAATCTTATAAGCAGGACTGGGCTGGAAATGCATCATTATCAGCATTTTCCATTAAATGTTCCTTGTGGGTGTCCTGGGAAGTCTTCTACCTGTACTCACCATAAAGGGGAATTCTCAGGAAACCAAGACAGAATCATGTAGTCCTTAATTAAGATTAAAATACAAGATAACTTGAAAACCATTGAATATGGCAGTGTGTAGGCAATAAATACGCTTCCTTGTGTTGTGCTCTGAAAGGTTCCCATATTTGAGAACTATATACCAAGTCAAAGGATAGTTTAAATGCTGAAGACCATTTTTAGTAAATTGTGTGTTTGGCATATTTTTGAAGGGAATGGGAGAAATGGAAGAATTTTTGCCTGGGGGTGTGTGGTCAGGGTGAAGCTGTGTCTGCTTGTACTGTCAGCAGGGAAATGATTAGTCCTTGTTCCTGGTTCAAATGATTAATCATTGTTCCTCGTTCAGAACTTTCTTAGCACCCAGCTCTGTAAGTCTTTTAGATTTTAGCCTTAATTTCTTAACATAAAGAAGGCTTGCAAGTAAAGGGGAGGGGTAAAGTATGCAAAGGAGAGGTCTTTAACCCCTAACAAAATCATAGAATTATAGACTTATAAAATTGTTTTGGTTGGAA